GATTATGGGCTTGCACCACCAAGCCTGACATGTTCAGTTGTCTAGGGCTGGACCTGGGCCTGCCATGCGTCTCCAGCATCACGTGGTAGCACCCTACCACTTGTACCACTGTAGTTGGTCCCTGAAACTGTTTTCCTTTCTTTTTTATCCCCCTCTGTCTCTCTCTCTAGAGAGCACATGTACCCTCTGACAATTAAAAAAAACTATAAGAAGATCCTGGACTTTCTCTAGTATCTTCATATTCCTTCCCAAGTCAATTGGAATTGCCCAAAATTTCTGTATTGCTTCAACTTTTTTTTTCAGAGAGATTTTTGCTATAGGGCATGTGTGCTCCCCAGAGACACAGAGAGAGACAGAGAGATAGAAAGCGAGAAATCATCTCCCAGGGGTGATGGCCACACTGCAATCCCTTGGCCTCATTCTCATCTTGGGATTTTGGGCACGCACACACACGTGCCCGGCGTTAGCTTTAAGCCATCAGGTCTGAGACTCAAACCATGGTTGACTACATGGGAGTCCAACAACATAACCAGTATGCCATCTGCTTGTCCCTGAATTGCTTCAACTTTTAGAATGCACATTCTGCTGCAAAGTTTTAATCTGTCATTTCTACCCTAATGCAGGCACTCATAAAATTTAGTGTGTTACAAAATCACTTGGAAATTTTTAAAATGCATTGTTTTAGACCCTAGAAATTAGAAATTCTGATTCCATAGGTCTAGTGTAGAGCCCAGGAATCTGCATTTTGACAGTCCAGGTATTATTGATTTTCTTTTTTCCAGAGAGATCACCTGGTAGTTTATCTGTGAGTCACCGTTTGGGCCACCTTAGTGAAATTGGTTTTTAGAGAAAGGAGGGAGGAAAGGAGCTGGCTGAATAATCACAGGACTCCTGGGAGCACCTAGACAAATTAAGAGTAATTGCCAAGTTTGATAGAGGTCTCCCCTGCGCCGGGTCTACCTAACAGATAACAACTTACAAAGGTTCAGGTGTGGCCTCAAATCTTGAAGTCTCTGACTTCTCACTCTCAAGTGGAATCGGGTGTTTTTGGGGGTTTACCACTTCTCAGGGTAAAATGCCTGATCTTTTCCATTTGTAAAAGAGCATTTCATTTGGGCCCAAATCACCTGTTTCTTTCTTTTTCTTTTTTCGAAATTTGCAATAGGGTGCGTGCATTGCCCAGAGGTGAGGGGAAGAGAGAGAGAGAACAGGTCTAATCCCTTCTCCATGTTCTTCTAGGGATTTTGGACATACCTGCACACATACCCTGGAGGTTTCAAGCCACTTGATCAGAGACTCAGACATGCAGTTGGCTATGTGGATCCATCCAACTTAACCGCCATGCCACCAGGTGGATTCCTGTGTCAAGTTTTACACTGTTTCCAAATCCCAGTTTTGCAGGCTAGAGAATGTCGGAACTACAAGGACAATAGAACTCAAGGGTATCATTTTTATATAAAGGAAAACTGTTCTTAACAGAGACTACCTTGCCTATACACGTTCGTACAGCTGGGATGAGCACTGCATTCAGTGCTTCTTGTAAAAAGAAGGGCAGGGGGTGGGGGGCAGCAGATGGCATAATGGTTATGTTGTTGGACTCCCATATGGCCAAGCATGTGTCAAGTCCTGGACCTGGAGGCTTGAAACTCACACCGGGTATGTGTGTGTATACATGCCCAAAATCCCTAGAAGAGAATGGAAGAGAAGGGATTGTGGCCTGGCCATCCCCTCAGGGGGTGATTTCTCATTTTTTTCTCTCTCTGTCTCTCCAGTGAGCACATGCACAGTATAGCAATAATCTCTCTAACAAAAAAAAGAAAAGAAAAAAAAATCCTTTGGTAAGTGAATCCATGTTCCCTTTGCTGTGCCATTTATGATTTGTCTCCTTGAGCTCATGGCCGGTCTGCCTCTCTAGCTGGAGGGCGATCTTTTCAGGATATCGGGAGGAGTACAGTGTGGAGTCAGGAGCACAGGCCTCCTCATCAGATGGCTCCAAACCATGTATCAGCTCAGCCACGGGCAAATGACCTAGCTTCCCTGAGCCCCAGAGCTTGGGGGATGAGCCTCCTAGCAGGGATGATAAGAAGACCCACTTCATAGGAATGCCTGTCACAGTTTGGGGTTCATTAAGTAGCCATGTGCCAGAGGTGGCATGATGTTTGGACACTGGACTCCCACATGACCCTCCATGGTTCGAGTCCTGGCTTGCTTTCTCACTTTCCCTCTTTCTTTCTGGTGAGTGTACATGGCCTATAGCAAACGGAAAACAAAACAAAACAAACAAATTAAAAAACCCCAATTACATAAATAATTATTTAAAACAAAACAAAACACCATATACTCTTGCATGGTAACTCCCTCTAAGTAGCTGGTGAGAAATCAGCCAGGAGACTGGAGTTCTCTCATTCATTCCGTTTGTTTACACCCTCCAGGGTCAAGCCCGTCTTCACGTGGTCTCACTCAGGGCAGGTAGAAGTGAATCCTCACTTCACTTATTTGTAGCTCCTGAACCTGATGGGGTAGGGGTGCGGGCTGAGCTGAGCTGAGCTCCCCCAGAAGTAAATGGTACAGAGGGAAGAGGAATATGCGAGGCTTTCCAAAAGTCGTCTTTCTGTGTGGTGATCAGAAAATGTTCATTCAATACCCTGGTGAAAGGAAGCAGAGATACAAATAAATCCAGAATTTATATTTGCCTTGGGATAAATTGTATGAGATCAGAGAGTGGGTAGCAGGCTTTCTTTCTGGATTATTCTGGGCACAGGTGACTATTAAAATGTATAGCTAGCCCCTGATGCACATCAGCTCACAGGCTGGGAAGAAAGCCTGGAGCCTGAGAGTTTCAGAGCTTTGGAGGCACGGTGCACGCTCACACAGAAACTGGAACATTAACTTGGTTTTCGCTTGTCAAAGTGTGTGAGAAGGCTTTGGAGAAGGCTCAAGTGTCTACCACCCTTTCCTCCATTGCAAGGTCCAGCAACTGTGAGGTGGTAAGTTCCACAGCGAGCCACCCGAGCAGGGACACACAGTGGGTGGCCTCCCTCACCTGCATTATCTTTGAACTGACCACAACAGCCAGCCCTCACAAGCTAGTTTAGAAGCCGCAGCCAGCTGCCGACGAGCTGGTGGTAAAAATCCCCCTGGGGTGCTGCTGGTAATGGAATCTGCTGTCCCTTGCACATCGGCAAAGTTCTGAATGCAGAGTGCTTGGTGAGTCCCTTGTTTGGGAAAACAGCCAGCCATGCAGTAGGACAGCCGTTCCTTTGACTTGCTGGTTCCCAGCTGGCCTCACATCAGTACAGGGGTTCCCCACTGAGGCAGCTGACCAGGGGCTCTGTCAGGCAGACAGTGACTGGGACCTTTACAGTCTCAGTCATTTGACCTTGAACAAAGTCAAGGATCAACTACTTTTCTGTGAGATGGAGATCATTGGAGTACCTACTCCACTGGGCTCCTGGGAGGACTAAAGAGGCCGTGTCAAGGGTACCTAGCCCCTCTCGGTGTCGAGGAAATGCGAGTGCTAATGATTTTTCTGCTCATGGGTAGCACTCTTAGTAATGAACTCCCTTTCAAGAACATGCTCTTTTCTACCTTTCTAAGATTGAGGAAAGAAAAAAAATTGCCACTCTCAACAGAAACCTGGAAAAATAGTTCATTCCATGAGCTACTTGCCCCAGAAACCTGAATGAAAGCCATAGGTGTTTCTGTAGCCACATGGTTCTGTAGCAGTGGCAGTAACGACATTTATGGTCACATCCTACTCTTAGGGTGAAGTATTAGGTTGTCGGAAAAGTTATGTATTTTTTTCTACACAGAAATGCATCATGACTTTTCTAAAAACCCAATAATTCGGTTTAAATAAAAATGGGACCAGCAGTTGGCGTAATGGCTATGTCACTGGACTCCCATGGAGTCAATCGTGGTTAGCATCCCAGACCTGGTGGCTTAAACTCACGCTGGGTATGTGTGTGTGCGTGCCCAAGATCCCGAGAGGAGAATGGAGGAGAAGGGACTGCAGCGTGGCCATCTCCCCTCGAGGGTGATTTCTCGCTTTCTGTCTCTGTGTTTCTCTCTGTATTTCTGGCGAGCGCACGCATCCTATAGTAAAAACCTCTCAAAAACAAAACAAAACAAAACAAAACAAACAAACAAAAAAAACCCCAAACAGCCTATGGTCCAGCTTCAGGACAAGAGATCTGGAACATCGCTTTGTTCAGATGCCAAAAATTATATTTAGGTCATAACCCAAACACGTGTTCAACTGGGGAACTCAAATGCCTGCTGCTACTCTGAATTTTTTACCAGAAGCTGAGCAGAATTTAGAAATATGTCTAGAGGATGTGATTCTTTTTTCTTTTTTTGGCCATAGGATATGTGTGCTCACCAGAGAGACAGAGAAAACGAAAGTGAGAAATCATCCTCCAGGGCGAATGGCCACACTGCAATCCCTTTTCTTCCATTCTCCTCTTGGGATTTTGGGCATGCATATACATGTGCTTGGCATGATCTTCAAACTACTGGATCTAGAACTTGAATGGGAGAGCCAGCATGCAGAATCCAGTGCCTTAACTTCCATGCCACCTGGTTGGCCCAGAGGTGATGTTTTGGTAAGGTTTTTGCCATAGGGCATATGCGCTCACCAGAGAAAGGGAAAGTGAGAAATTATCCTCCCTGGGGAGGATGGTCACGCTGCAATTTCTTGTCCTTCATTCTCCTCTTGGGACTTTGGGGGATGCACACACATGTGCCTGGCATGATTTTCAAGCTGCTGGGCTGGGTACTCAAACTGCAGTCAGTCATGTGGGAATCCAGCGTCTTCACCACCACACTACCCCCTAGCCTCCAGAGGGGATTCTTAATAGAAAGAATATGTGTTATGCTGCTTCCCTCCCCCATCTCTTTAATGTTTTAGTTTAGTGCAGAATCCCAGTTGCACAAGAACTTAGATGGCAAAGACATTCATTGTAGATATGAGGCCCCATATAAGTCCATCAGAGTAGGTATACAGAGAAATATTCCTTTATTTTTTTTTCTTTTAGCAAACAGCTTACAGTCTAGTTTGCAAGATAAAATGACCAGTCTCTATAAATATTTAATCTACTGAAATCACATAAGATTATTCCAAAGCCATAGACATGATTATTTCTCAATAGAATCAAGAAGATCTGCAGTGTGGAGACCTATCTTGTGGAGATTTGAAATGTTTCACCTCTCTTGAGCAACCAGAATTAGTCCTACTTTGGAGGACATTTCTGAGAAGAGTCAAGCTGGCATCCTTCCGTGGGCATTGCCTTCCCCCGAGTGAGGGTGGTCATTCACTTTCAAGGCTGTGAAGAAGCATAACAAGCACTAGACCAGCCTTTCCACCATAGCTCACTCACCCTGCATCCTCACTAATCCTCTTTTGAAATCAGCATGTCATTTCTTTTCCATTTCACCCTTTCCCCAAGGACTCAGGACTTTTAAAACAGACCACCTGCTATGAAACCCACATAAACCCACTTCGGACTGTGACAAAAGCAGGCTGTCTTCCTCCGTCAAGAGGCAGCAGTGGTGGGTGGGAATCAAAAGGTAAGGGAGGGGGCTTCCTGAGAGCTGCCCACTGGGCTCACTCCTCCTTCCGCCCTCTGGTGAAGGAGGCTGTTACCGGTGGCTCACTGTGACCAGTTGGGCTTTCTCTTCTGGATGAAGGCCTTGATTCCCTCCTGCCCATCTGGTAGGGCCAGGTTGTTCACCATGCTCTGGGAGGTGAGGCAGTAGGCTGTTCTAAGGTCCTGGGTCAGCTGCTTGTAAAAGGTGGCCTTGCCCAAAGACACCACAGGACGGCTCAAGGAGGCAATCTTTGTCGCTATTCTCATGGTCTCTTCCTCCAGCTGCTCTTCTGGCACCACTTTGCTGAGGAGCCCGTGGAGCAAGGCCTCCTGAGCAGAAATGGGCTCCCCAGTAAACAGCATCTCCAAGGCAACCTGCGGAGGAAACACACAAGGTCACTGAGGCCCTCTCCTCACAAGCCATTGCCATGTCTATCCTGCCCTCTCTATTGTCACTCCATGGAGACAGTTGCTATCCTAAATTAACAATAATTCTCAGCCCAAGGATCTGCTTCCTCAGATAACATGCCATCTATCACCTCTGATGACTTCAATCCCAAGCCTCCTGCTAGGGATGAGATCAGGTCCTCCCAAGAGCAAAGACAATACACACAGGCCAGAAGAGGTGGCGCTGCATGTTCTCAGCTTCTCCATGGATCGAGGCATCCAGCCCTGCTAGGGCAGGGGACTACAGCAGTAGGTCCCTCACCTCCCACCAACTACTCAGGGCTGCTTCCTAAGGGAAACACCTTTGCAGGTGCCATCACCCCAGTCCAATGTGAAAGAGTGGCCTCCAGTCTCCCTAAGGAGGGGGAGATAAAGAGAATGTCTTCCAAAGATGAAGAGCCAAGCATGCTTTCGCTTAAATCAGTAGGAGGTGGTAAGCAGAGGATGCCCAGTTCCCTCCACATTCTCTTCTCCAGTTCTGAGGCCCACAGAAAAGAGCGTGACTTCCTTATTCCATAGTGGCCTCTGGTTCACAGCCTCTACCCAGTGCACCTCAGTGGTAATTCAAGGCTAAATCTCTGCACTTGAACGCTGCCGAAAGGAGGTCTCCAGGTCACAGGGACACACGGGGCAAGGATACCTTCCCTCCCTCTACCTCTTGCTCTTTCTCTGAAAAGCCCCTGCCTACATGCTCCTTCCACTCCCTCCCCAGGTGTTTTCAAGGCTCTAGTCTCCATCCCCTTCAGGTTTCTGCTCATATGTCACCTTGCCAGTGAGGTTCCCTATGACTGTCCTATTAAAATTTCCAAACAAACCCCAACACTACCCCTCTTTCTGGGAATAGTTTTATCCTTTGCATCTTTTAGCATTTAACATACTACGTATGTTACTTGTTTATGTGTTTATTGTATATCTTCTTTACTAGGGTAGAAACTCCAACAGGGCAGGATTTTTTCCCCCAAGTGTTCTTTGTTTCTGTATCTCCAGCACCCGAAGACTGTAGGTTGCACACAGTAAGCAACCTACCAAATAGTTCTGAGGGAATGAAAGAATGAATGAATGAATGAATGAAGACAAAGAGAGTACACTACAGTGACTGGTTCTTTTGTGGCTAGGTAAAAAAGAAGATGCAGCAGCCACCTAGACCTTCCTCTTGGGATGCTATGATGGCTAATTTCAGGTGTCAACTTGACTGGATTAAGGAATACCTAGAGAAAAACATTAGCCGGTAAAACATTATTGGGGGGTGTCTATGAAGGTATTTCCAGAGGTGTTGCCATGTGAGTCTCAGTGGACAGAGAAGGAAGGACCTGCCCTCAATTGGTTTTGGTGGTCCTGACCACTACCCAGTTGGCTCAGGGTCCAATGGAACAAAAACAGGAAAAGAGAACTGCCAAGGCTCTCTAGTCTGTAGACTCCAGGACTTAACAGCAGTAGCCCCTTTTCCCTTGGTTCCCAGCATTGGCCACCACTGGCTTCCCTAGTCCTGATGCCTTTGGATTGAGACTTTGCCACTGGATGCTATTGGTATCCCAGGGTCTCTGGCTCACAGACAGCCTATTGTGGGACCCCTCAGATGCATAATCATGTGAGCCAATTCTAATAAGTCCCCTCTCCTTTATATATGCACATCATTTATATCTATATCCTATCAGCTCTGTCTCTCTAGAGAACCTTGACTAATATAGATGCTCAGTCTTGGAACCTGACCACCATGCTGTGAGGAAACCCAAGCTACATTGTGAGGCCAGACTAAGTGTGCCAGTGGACAGTCCAGCTGAGGCTCAGCTGAGAGGCAGCCTCCTCCACAGCCAGACAAATGAGTGGGCAGCCCTCAGACTGGTCCCCTAGCTGTCACTCTCCAGTCTTCGAGTCTTTTCAGCTGAAGACACAGACACCGAGGAGCAGAGATAAGCATTCAGTATGGTGCCTTGTCCAGGTTGCAAATTTATGAGCATAAGGAATGAGCGCTGCTTCGAGTTGTGAGTAGCTTGTTAGGCAGTAATGATAAACGGACTAGCTTGGGATACGGATTTGGGAGCCTTCCTTACTGAGAGCGGGGTTTCCCAACCCTGGTGATATTGACCTTTGAGGCCAGATCATTTTGTGTTGTGTGGGCTTTTCTGTGCATTGAAGGGCATGCCACAGCCTCCCTGACCTTAACCCGCTAGATGCCTGTAAGACCTCCACCACCAAATTGTGACAATAAAAATGTCTCCAAGTGGACTGGCTCTGTGGCAGCAGTAATGCTCTGTCCATGAGAAGCTGGCTCCCACTCGGCGACTCTGGTTTAGATACTTGGCCTGGGCAGCCTGAGACATGCCGGGCATGTGTGCGAAGGCCTGAGATCTGACAGGTTGGAGGACCGGAGGAAGGAGATCAGCGTGACCAAAGCCTAGAGAGAGTGCTCACATCTCTGTCTCTCTTGCTACTCACTCTCACACATACACACACACTCGATTGTGAATAAAGAAAAAGGAGGAAGGAAGGAAAGAAAGAAGGAAGGAAGGGAGAGAAAGAAAGAAACAAAAAAAGAGAGGGCCAGGTCCATGGCCCCGAGTCCTGGACCCAGTAGCTTGAAAAATACATGCCAGATGCATGTGTATGTGTGTCTTAAACTCTGAAAAAAGTGAGAGAGACAGGGGAGAAGGGATGGTGGTGTGACCATTCTCCGGGAGAGTGTGTCCTCCTTTCCCTCCCTCTCTGTCTCTGGCAAATGCACGCACCCGCACATACATCTCCAGGCATTGTCAAATGTCCCCAGGGCGTGTTGTTTTTGGTTCACAACCACTGACCTAGAAGGTTTTTTTAAAGTTGTGAGACTAGGTTAGAGGATTTAGGATTGAGGTTTGATAGAAGGAGGCCAGAAGCCTGGCCAAGGGTTCTCTCCCCACCATGCGTAAACTTGGAATCTGTCCATGCCAGGCTGGTGATCAGGGATGGGCCTCATTTCCTCCTCTGAAGCAGCAAGGACCTCACACTAGTCACGTGTACACGCATGTGTGCAGGAGAGAGAGAGAGAAGCACCCTTGACAGGGTCTTGTCACACTGCTGTCCCTTTTCCCCAGTCCTCCCCTGTGTCCTCAGGAACCTGCACACACCATGCACACAGGTTGGGTGTGTTTTTAAGCCATCTGGAATCCGAACACACGTCCAGCCTTGCAGGGCGGTGTTACCACTGCACCACAGCAGCTGCACTGACTGAGAAGTTTAAATGGGATTAACACTGCTCAGGGGAGGAAGGTGTGCCTGAGGGAGCCACAGCTCAGAGGGCCCACCTGCATGCTGGCTCTCCCTTCACTTCCTCGTCATCCTGCTCAGTTCCCCACCACATCCCCCTCTCCAGGCCTCAGTGTCCTTATCTGCCTAATGGGGTGATACCATTTAGCATCATATTGCTTGACAGGGATTTTGCTCAGACAGAACAGATAAGAGAGTGGCGTTCACTGAGGTAAAAAAGCCTGTGGATTTCATAGCTAATTAGGACAGTCTTCACTTAGTATTCAAGTTCCTACACAGCGTCCCCAGAAACTTGAGATGGAAGAGAAGAAAATACACCCCACCCTTTTCCCAGTCAATTCATGTTGCCTCTCAGGCTGGCACCCGTTTAGTCACCCTAAGAAGCTGGCAATTTAATAGTTCCTCTTCCCAGGGTTATTTGCATTAAAAGTAACAAAAAGAACTTGAGGTCACGGCTTAATCTGGAGGCAGCACAACTTGGTAGAAAGAACCCAAATTTTGCCACCAACTAATTACAAGGCCTTAAACTGTAACCCCTTGGAGACGGTTTCCTCATTTGGAAAATGGGACTAAGTGCCTCGGTCCTCCTGCAGTACTGTGAAGGATGGAGATAGCAGGTACAGCACTGGGCGCTGATTGGGTAGCTAATCAATGCAGTGGCTATTAAGACTCCTAACTATAAATTGCTATAAATCCCTAATGTTGCCTTTTAGCTATCTCAGTACTGGAAAGGGGGTGGTCGTTTAAAGTGGAGGGCCTTGAGGATCCTTTTAAGTCCCCCAGTACAACAAAAACCATATGCTATGGTCCTCCCTGCCTCCTGCAAGGTGCTTTAGTCCATCATGGTGCACTAACAGCATGTTACTGGGCAGCTCACAAGCCACACAATATTGCTCACAGTTCTGGAGGCTGGGTCATCCAAGATGAAGGTGCCTGCCAATCTGGTGTCTGATAAGGACCTGCTTCCTGGTTTTGTCTTCTCACTGGGTCCTCAGGTGGGGGAAGAAGGACAAGGCAGACCTCTGGGTCCCTTATTATAAGGACACTTCGCATTCATGAGGGCTTCACCCTTGTGACCTAACCACTTCCCAGTGCCCACCTCCTAATACTGTATCTGTGGTGAGCAGATTTCAACATATGCGACAGAAAGAAAGCGAGAAATCACCCTGCAGGTGAGAAGGCCGTGCCACAATCCCTTTTCCTCCATTCTCCTCTTGGGATCTTGGGCACGCATGCACACATGCCCAGTGTGAGTTTAAGTCACTGGGTCCAGGACTCAAACTGTGGTCGACTACATGGGAGTCCAGTGACATAGCCATTATGCGAACTGCTGGTCCCAAACTACATGCTTTCTAAGGTCGCACTTTCTGAATTTGGATGGCCACGCTAATCACTGCCATGATGCCATCTCTCTGGGACAGGCCCGAGACACTGCATTTCCCTCAGGCTCTTTGGTGGCTGTGCTCATCTGAGCAGCGAGGCTT